TTGACAGACAGAACTTTACTTTGTGGTTTTGTAAAACAGGATATTAAATCATATAGATGTACTTTCCTGGCAAAACATCTCTTGACACTGTCATAATAACCACATGTGGACATACATGTAACACTTCCTACACACAGCTTAACTTCACCAAAAAACAAGCTTGATAAGGAATGGTTGTCTACACTTTCCAGTGATGATGCAACAAATTTTGCACTGCTCAGCATAAATGTCAAACAAAAGACTTACGCTTTATAGCTGACACATCCTTGCCAAGTTGGCAGCTTACACTATGATTGTCTCTTGTTCATGTTTAGTCACAGCCATTAAGTTTGTAAGGAGTTAAGATAGTCCTTCTTCAAATCTGATGCCATCACCAGTCAGATTTTTCAAAATTTGACTCGATCATAAAACTTGTTAAGGTTAAAAGTTCAATTGAATAACAGAGAATGTACAGAAAGAGATATTTACAAGTATTAGAAGCGTGAAAAGATTTTGCTGACAAAACATCAATTGACCACATGTACTTTGGTGATCCCTAATGAGCTTTGTGGGTTTTCCAACAGAAAAAAGGAAAACAAAACAGTCACCTTGTTTTTTTGGTTTTTTTTTTCATTTACTACCCTTTAGAAACTTTTTATTTGTAAGTATTAGAAACTTGACAGATTTTGCTAGCAAAACTCATTGGCTTCATGTACTTTTTAGTGATCCCTAATAAGCTTTATGGGTTTTCCAACAGAAAAAGGAAAAACAAAACAGTCATCTTTTTTTTTCATTCACTACCTTTTAGAAACTTTCTGCAGGTAACAATCAAGCAACAGTTTCAACATTGAATAATACATGTAATTCAAATTGACAGCAGTTTATCACTTCTTCTCTTCCTCCATGACAAAATTACTTAATAATTGCACATTATCACATAAAACACAACTTTTCACTTCCTACATCTAAGCCAAATCTCCATATCATTTACAATAATGTGTCATGTGGTTCTAACTTTTAAGTTTCTGCATGAAATGCACATGACCTTTACATGATCCTTTAAATAAACACTTTAGATCAGTACTTAAATGAGGTGTTGTTTGCTTTCTAAATACTTTGGTTTTTCTTTAGGTAAAAGGGTTAAACTGTGTGACTGATTAGATTTTTGTCCTTCCATGCTCTTGCACAAGTATGTGCTGGTAGTCTAAGGCATGAAAAACCAATCCAGCTTGTTCGCAAGGTGTAAGTAGACAAGAAACCTACATGTATTTTGTCTCTGTTTCAAGCAAAAGTGCAAAGAAATTTTAAACAATGTCACTGAAACGAATTGCCAAGCACAATCTATAATGCCATTTTGATCCTTGAGCTAAACAAAAAGTAGTTACAATACAAACAGTACTAATCACGGCAACTTGGAACATCTGCCAGAGAAAAACATTGAACAGCAAAAATGAGTTATTGTATAGGCTTCACAGATGAACAGCATATGCAGCTAGCTAGCTAAATCTCTCATTAATTTCACTTCATTCACATGTTTTAATCCTGTATGTGTACATACAGCTTGTATAAGTATCAGAGAATATAGATCCACTTGACCAACAAACAATGTAAACTAAACGCTGTATTTCTTTAGGAATTTGCCTTAACTTTGATTTCCACTTTATACCTCAAAATATATGCTTTAAAATTTACTTTTTTTAAACTTCCTATCAAGAAACAGATTGGGCATGAACTTGACAGTGAGAACATGTTTTTAAGTTACTTGTATTTGCTCGCTCCACCTGGATGGAGCAGGTACACATGCAAGTTGTAAAAACACATTTTTCCAATGTTACTGCCTACGCACCACCCGCATGTTTAAAACTGTCAGGAAAGAGGTACATGTATAAGACAAATTAAAAAAGCAAGAAAATGTTCAGGTTTATTTTTGTTTATGGATGTTTGCACACCAGGGGAGGAAACCACGTGGAACTGATACAATCCAAGTATAACTTAACAAGATCTACTAAGGTCACGGTCTGATCAAAGATACAATGAGATGGAATACAGAAGCATTATGACACTTTCTCACTAGGCAGATTTGAAATTACAGTCGGTGAAAGTCTTTTATGTCACAGCAGTTACACACAATAAAAGCAATCAGGGAATGTTTAAGCATATGCTCAGTTCTGGTGCTGTATTGATAACAAAATGAAGGTGTATATAGTCACCATGTGGCGCTGATTGATCACCATGAGTCAAGGCAATTCTAGTAATTTGCCAGATTAAAGTTAAGCTTTCAAATGTCTAAAATTTAGCCTGTTCATCAACGATCATGCTGTTTACATTTAGGTGAATGTCAATTCCCTAGCTAGTTCATGGCGTTTCCTTTAAAGTAAGCAATAAACCTGTTTTTCATGACAAAATCTCATTTTGGTGATAAAATTTAGTAGACTATTAGACTTTGCACGTGTGATGTTTATGAAGACTGAACAAAGAAAGACTAATAATTCTAACTTCTTTTTCCAAGGCTAGGAATTGAAGAAAAGTTTTCACAATACTAAGAATCAAAAGCAACAACAGAACCATAAAGACAAGAGGTTGGAATTTATGGCAGAGGCTAAACTATCGTGTTAGCAAAACGAGCGTGAGGCGAGCAAAATGCCGGTATTCGTTACAATTAGCTAGGCAGACAGAAACATTGCCGACAACAGTCTATCAAGGAACAAACACGCAATATTCCTGTTTCACTGTTAGCAAACTAACCGAATAAAAACAACGTAAACTTCAAAGCTTTCAGAAATTAATCACGCACGTAGGAAATTTTCTACAATCACGACACACACGCAAGATGAAATGGTTCGGTTCCTGTCGCCTCGATTCCCGTGGCTTCGATTTCAAAACTTCGATTTTCATTTTCAAGGCACTACTACCTTATGAAAGTAACATCAATTTATATCCAAAAGAGCCAGACAATGTCATGCAGTCATGAAGCAGGACAACTAGAACAAGAGATCTGAAAATTGCCAGTACAATACACTCGACGCGAAACAGCTGTCAATTCTGACGAAAATGAGGTACCTTTACATAGAGCAGAAACCGACAACATTAATGTAAATAAAAACTCCACCACAAGGCCACGGACCCTTTAAGATTCCACCTTAAACTTCAAAACCCCAATACAAATACCAAAGAAATAAGAATTATGTCGTGAGGGCAAATATATTACTTTTCATACACCGGTATGGGTTTGCGTGATCAAAGATTCCAAAGTATGGAATAAACCTTCAAGTTGTTATGAATCGGAAAGCAATTACGGTATTCCAACATTTGGTTCGTTCGATTCGATTTCTTAATCTATAAAGACAAAACGCCCAAATCCTGCAATGATCACTAGAATCATACAAAACCCAACCTTGAACAATTATGTTGTTACACTGGGAAATATGACAAAGAAGAACGGAACGTTCTTGGAAAACCTTATCAATTATTATATTGATGTACGGGTAATTTATTCACGGCACCGCTTTGGTGAATTGTAGTAGGTTGCGGGCGAAGAAAGATTCCAAACTACATAACAAAAACATAGACCTTCGCGTTTAAGTTAAATCAAATTGTAAAAAAAACTCAAGCGTGTATGTTCGTTTGCGCATATTTACTTGAAGTGCCTCATGACCTACTAGCGAGCGAAGCATCTAGCGGAGAATGATGTAGTTATTGTGTGTGAAACTCTCGACGATCAAAAAACACACTTCCAAACACACGGCCTCAATTTCCGTTGCATGTGAATTCAGTCCTTTTTAACGTATCGGCTAAAAATCGCTTAAACCCAGCTGACAACACAGAGAGCTACGTTGAAACATGATTAGTTTACTTGAGACGACGGAGCGAAACGGCTGTGCCGCCGCGAAACAAACCGAGACGGAAAGATTCACTACATAATCTATGTTAGGCACACGTAATAATTACCTTGAGTTGTCGGCGCTTTTGGACCTGAAAACCAACAAGAAACATTAGTTCCTTTTCGCTACTTTTCCGATCTACATTATGAGGCAGGTTTTGGCAAAACATGAAGTTACATCAAATCACCGATGTGAATGCCATGTAATATTTACCCGTACCCTCTCGAACGAAACTGCTCTGCAACAGAACCTACCTCGTCGGTTTGTGAGACGGCATAGCTCGTTAAATTCTCCCACAAAGCAGCCCAAGATCGTAAATCAGAAACTATCGAGACCTCAAAGGAGTTCGTAGGGCTCAAAAAGATAAATCATTTCCAAAGAAAACGACAATTCCAAGACCCTTCCCGTGGACAAATAAAAAACAAGATGGCGCTTGTTTATCGTCTGACGAAAGGAAATATTATGCCGCATTTTTCCTCTGAAATATCACCTGATTGGCCGGAAGGTGCCGTAAAAATCACGTGATGACCTCACCGGGGGTAGGACTTGTATAAAACTGATTTCACGTTTTGATTTGTATAATAGCGATGTTTTCGTTCGTGTTTTAACAAAAGCATATTTATGTGTGATTCTGCCTACTTGAAGGAACAAAAGACAACCTCAATATATGCTTCCGCCGGGATCGGCAAGACAATGGACTGTGATCAGGAACATTTTCAAAAACGCGAAAGTGTCGCGACGCGAAACAGTAGACTGCAATGACAGCCCCGTTTCGATGCGACACGCTAAAATTAACGATGGTTTTCCAAAGCGGAAAGAAACAGACAAGATGAAGCTGAATACGAGAACTTCCGTTAAAGCCTCGCCGATGAAAAGGTACAGAACTAAGCAGCAAGCAAATATTTACTTTATGGTATGAAACCAGAAGGAGTGGCAATCTTTCAATAGGCAACGCCCCCCGGAATTTGCATTGTAGTGCCGTGAACCTACGTCGTAAGAAAATTACCCACATGTAAGAGATATCAAAGTTCGAAACCTAATTATAAAAGATCCATGCTTAGTTTACCTGCATTTGTGCGGCGGCATTTTAAGTGGTGTCTGATTAGCTTTTACGGCGAACAAAAAACAGCTGGCGTCCCCGTTCCCTGTTCGGTCGCTTGATAAGCTCACGTAAAGCTCGAAACCAGCGTTTGAAAAAAAAATCCCCTTTTTTTTTTCTTTTTGTTTTCGAAAAACTTATAATCCTGACAACTTAGCCAAGTTTTTTTTTTTTCGAATTGCGGAATTCAATGCCCCTGACGAAATGATGAAGAAAACCTGCGAATTCGTGTAGGAAAACACGTTTTTGTGTGGACCATTTAGGGATTCCCCGTTATCTGTCTTATTAGTTATTTTAGATCCCGTCGATTCGGCGGACTTGCCGTACCCTAGATCCATTTTATTTTTTTGCATAAAGCAGTAGCATTTAGATTACCACAGCTTTAACCCGATAAATGAAAATCGAAGAAAAACTTGGAAAAGAGCTGACAGAAAATAAATAACTGCAGAAATTCGCGCACGCTCATTGGCTAATTTTCATTGTCCATAAGCGGACAGACATAAGGATTTATAATCTATGCAATGCGTAAACGAGCGAGAGCGGACAATTTGACAATTTACAATGGTAATAGGGCTGAGTGAGTCCAATTCGGTCTGTAATCATACGAGCGATTGACAAAATCGTGATTTGTTAATCACAAGTATGATTACAGACCGAATTGGACGACACGATGTCCTGTTACCAATTAATTAAAACTATGTCAAAATTCGAGAAATGAACAAACCATCGATTGATCACTGAATGATTAAACATCGTTATGAATGCTGAAAAACACAGCAGTTTACTCAACTAAGTGCACCGCAACAGCATGCGCAAAATGACGCATACTGTCCAATTACAAGCATGACGCATACACTGTCCAATTAACACTCCAATCAGGCTGCTGATAGCCAATCACGTTCGAGAATTTTGTTATGGTTTTTATTAGTTATTGTAAAAAACAAATTGATGTCAATTTTTAATCCATCTGTCCTGTTATTGACAATGAATTTCGACATAACATTGTCAAAATAGTCTCCGGATCCGAACACAGACAGATTTTCACTGCTTGATGCAATTAACCTACAAGTCAAAGTTTATTTTGCACCCCAATGGGCTGAAATGTTTGGAAACAGGGAAACCAGGTGGTTTTATCAAGCTTATCCTGATTTGGGATGGTTGTATGGCTGCCCCCTCCTCCTCCTAGAGAGTGATGCTAGTCCATATTTACAGGGTAATCCCAATATTTCAAGAGGGTCAGGTTGACCATGCAGCAGGAGCCTTGGTGAATGGGGGGAGGGGGGAGTTTCAAAGGCCAAGGAAGGAGGAGAGAATGTGTACAAAACTTGCAGGTTTTCTTACAGGGCAGGAATTGAAGTGAAAAGGCTAAAATAAAATAATGCTCATTATGTTAATTAAAGCTAGGGAATCCAGAGGTAAGTGAGAACTTTGTGACTCTTCCCTTTCTCCTACCACTGCCCCCACCCCTCCACCTCCCCCTACACATAGTTGAATATTGGTCACATACCAGAGAAGTCAAGAGATTAAATCAAAATTAATGTAATTAAATGCTCCAGACAAAACAAAATATTGTATACTTCTGATGGGGTTCTTTAAACCATGTCATCCTGACACAGTAACTATACTCTCCCACCAGATTTATTTGCTACAAAAATCTAACATGCAGAGAAGACAACCTGTGATGGAATGAGGAAAAGCAACAACATTCCTGGACCTAGACAATAACGACATGGAAGGAGGGATAAAGATAAGCATCCGTATTATGCAGAAATTGGCAGAGGTCATTCAACATTTCCCTTGTGGTTTGAAGCAGTCTACGGATTCCATTGATGTCTTCAAGATCAAAAAGAGTAATTTACCATTCAAGTTGTGCTGTTTAATCACCTACTGCTGGGCCAAATCCTTGAAGATTCAGCATGAACACTGCTTCTCTGTCTTGCTGCAGTATTTTCCACTCGAGTTGCCGACAGTGATGAGTGGTTATTAGAAAATCCCATAACTGATTTGTACATTTAATTTTGTAACCATGCTGAGCGTTTCCGATTTTCCAGTTAATTACCACATTGGATTTGACAGCAAAAGCTTTCAAGGGTTTACAAGTCACACTAAATTCTCATTAACATCCATTCAGAAAACTTGATTGTCTAGTAAAGCCAGTCCTCACTAGCGACGCAAGCCTAAGCGTAAGAATATCAAACCTTGTGTTTTTCTTATGCTTATGTCGCTATTATGTCCAGTGGGTACATGTTAGCATTTATAGCATACTTAAGCATAAGCAAAAGACTTTCACCCAATCAGCAAGCACTTTGATTATGCTTACATGCCAACCATTTCCCCGCTGAACGTAAAATGACATTAGCATATGCATGAGCATAAGAAGAACACTTATGCATATGCTTACCTCGCTGCCTTTCTCACTGGTGTACAAGTTTATGTTAATGGTTATGCTTAAATGCTTTTGCTTGCATCACAAGTGAGAACCGGGCTTAGGATGTCAAATCAATGAACATGACAATCCGTTTTTAATGTTGTAAATATTTCCTGTTGTTCAACTGCAATTGAAACTGGAGATCACAGTTCCTAGGTCGAAAGTTGGTTTCCTTATTAACAGAATAAAATGGTGTGACTACTTTTAATTTTAGCAGATTTCCATTTTTGTAGCTGAAATATGCAACACTTATGTTCCCATAAATATTATGGTGTACCATCTCTAGGCACAAAAGCCTTTCTTGCACCACAGGTAGTCTGTCTTTCTTGTGTTTAGTAATAGTAATTGGACCGAGCAGAGTACTATTCAGACAGTAATCAGGCAAGAAAATTCAAAATCAGACCAGCGCAAAGTGCGAGGCCAATTCTAAAATAACAGGCACAATTTCTCACTGAATTGTACAACACAAGGTCTGGTTACTCAATATTAATTGCATCATTGACAAATTTTGAGATTAAAAAAATCTTTTTAGAACTTCTTTTGAGCAAAAATGGAGAACCAATCACAATGCCCCTCTCTATGATCTAAGAAAAACACAAGTTTGAGTGTTGAGAGAGTGGAAGGAGTTTTGGGTCACTAAATTTTGATACTCTTTATAGGGTAATACAAATTCTCATTATCATGTTGATCATTGCCAAATTTCAATTAGTGATATGAGGAAAACTGTCGACACATGTTCGTTATGCATGAGAACATAAATCATGTGCATAAAATTTCAGTCAGCCATATTTCTTCTCAAAGGAAAAAGGAATATTGCCCATTATACTTCATTCACCCAGCATACTCTGTTGAAATCCCATTCCCTCTTTTCCCCTGTAAAATATATCATTGTTTTCTGTTTGTTTGTTTTTTTCCTATATCTGTTGGGGAAGTGGGGGATGGCCTATCACAGCAAATGTGTAGAAGAAATGCAAGGATAAAAGTGACCATTAGGTTGCAAAGGATGATGAAAGGAGTCTGACATTGTGGACATAATAATTTTGCTATCCCCTCCAGGATGTAGAAAGCAAGTAATCTTATGGTAAATTACGTTAGTTTTTTTTAGAGAAAGTACTATAGCCCTTCTTAGATATTTCAACGGTTTGGAGCGGCAGTTGTTCAAGGGCAGCACTGTGCTTATTTTTTTCAAGTAATTGTGGTACTTATTTGAAGTGCTGTAGTTATTTTGTAACCTATTCTCTATACCTGGAGGGGGGCACTTAAATGTATTTTCAAAAATATATCCCTTTGTTGTCCCTTGTAATCTAATGGTCACTTGTTCCTCTTCGACCTTGGGCTCTCCAATGTGGAATCTTTTTGGGAGAACAAAACGGCCTTGCCTGGAATGGCAAGTGCATTGGACTTGCAACTGAGTGGTCAGGGTTCCAATCAAGTCCATTGTGTAATGTGCTCTATAGGGCAAGACCCATTTTACTCACAATGCCCCTCTCTAGCTCTCTACTCTTTGAGAGGGTCGTGGCCAATATGGGGACATACTGCTGGACAGTATGGAGTATATAATTTTACGTAAGTCCGTCCTTAATGGGGTCTGAACCTGTCCTAAACATGCATGGATGCACAATTGTCAAAAAAAAAAGAAAAGTTTAAACTCGGCAAATATCATCCAAGATTGAAGATGTTTGCAGACGTTTTGCAGGACAAGCCAATTTCAGATAGTTTTCAAGGCGAAAAAAAATAATCGTTCAGTTGTCAGTCCAGTTTGTCCTGAGTTTCTGGAATAGAGGTGTTTTAGAATTTCAGGTTTTCTATGTGCTAAACAGAGGGTTTCACGTCCTAAGTCGCACCCCTTTACCCAAACGGAACATGATGGCAAGTGCCCCCACCCGCTTGGACTAGCTCTTCAAATTCTTAGGACATAAATAGTTCGATCTACAACATTATTATTATCCCACTGTGTAAAAATACAAAGAAGTTTCCCGATAAGGGTAATTCCCTAATAAGATTTTCCTCTAAACATTTGCTATAATTATAAACATCATCTTTAAAAATATTACCACCCAATATTGAAAATCAATTTGAAATTCTTACATCAGATTTCAAGTCCAGGGCTTTCACCAAATAAAAAGAAAAATTGTATAATTCTGCTGGTGGTCATCACCCAGCTGTATAAACTATACATTTAAGCTTTACAAATTAAAAATATTAAAGTTTGACTTTGAGAACGAGCGTGCCAACATTCATGCGAAGTCAAGCTTGATCACATGTACCTACAGTTTCATGCTTCATGTCCTCTAAGTAACTATTGTAGGTATTTTTTGTTTTCTTTCTGTAATGATAGCTATCGATTCCCTTTTGTGTGTTTCCACGTACTACATGACTCGCTTTTCAGCATGACAATCGCAGAGCTTACAACTCGATCAAAGTAATTACGAAAAGTTGTAATGACTTTTTGTAATAGTTTTATTTATGTAACTACTATGGCCCGTTTTGTTTTCTTGCGAGAAACTTAGATGTGGAGCAGAGCGGAAAAAATATCAAGGAAATGAAAATAAAGTATTATCTTCAAAGCTGCTATTTTCAGCCCTTACAGATATGAAACCAAAGTAAATGAACCATTACTGCATACCTCTTCAATCTTGATTTTTTCCGGCGCCGAGAATTAGCAGCAGCCATCTTCTTCTTCGCGACTTTCGTTGTTTCCTTGTCGTTGGGACCAATTTTAAGCTGCATTAGTCCCTGACCGACTTCTTGAGCTGTTGAATAGCTTTGCCGTTTCTTCATTCCATCAGAAAAAGGAGAGAGAAACACAGACATAAACAATCAAGGTATTACTTCACAGCGTGGAGAAATATTGAGCAATCAAACGCCTACAACCAGGAACTACAATAGATTTACTGAAGCAGTAAAAACTTGAACACTAACGAACACGGACATCAGGCGACGATTCCCGTCAAATATCGCTCCCTCCTTTCTGGGGAAATCCTTTGTGAGTCTTCCCTCGCGGCAAAGTCACTCTAACAGCGAAACTCCAGTGAAGTCACTGTGTGCATTCGATCTTTGTTGAACAAATGCTGACGCTGTTTAGGAAAGTTCTACCCTATTCTGGTACGTGACAGAACCCACTACTTTGTTCGATATGTCACTTTTTTACCTGAAAGGTTATTGTTTTTTTTATACGAGGGCGGTCCAAAGAGCAATACTTCCTGTTACTTTACTTCCGGCTCTTGAAAATTGACGAATTGCAAAACAGCAACTTTTCCCCGGAAGTAAAATTTCAAAAGCCTGGCTGCAAAGCTCTAAACTGTTTTTACCGCGTCGCTCTCGAAGATATCGTTGTCGGAGAGAAATTTCTCTATTTTTTTTCTATCTTTTCTTGGGGTTTTTTGGCAGTGATAATGACGGTAAGTTTTTCGTAGGAACAGATGTGAATAGAAGTACGTATTGAACAGTTTAAACTGAATTTTGTGCTCCTTTCTTTGCAGTCGAGCGAGTCCTCGATCTCAGCCACGGCGACTTACGTGGAGAACTATTTGGACTGTGAGTAGGAAATGTTTTATTAGGAAACCTATGAACTTATCTATCAAGTGGATAAATAATCATATTTGTCCGCACAGGAAACACCGCACTTTTCAAATAGATCGTACCGGTTACTAGTATAGCTGCGTTTGTTGAAACGTTTTAACTTCCGTGAAACATGTACAGGCTTAAACCAGCTTGAACATCTCCCCAGTCATTGATCTAAATAAACTTAAATCGTTATAAGCTTCAACTCGATGTAATTTTATTCGCATCCGGTTTATATGCCTTGAAATCCTTATCGAGTAGCTCTTAAATTGTCAGCTCCACCTCCGACGTTTTGAAAATCTGAAATTGCATGTGCGTTGAGTGTTTTCACTCCTCAAGCTAAATTTGCAAGCTACAGTACTTTGCTGTCAAAAACTTAGGTCGAACGCCTCTGCGGATGTTTATCCGTATTCAAGTGTCTTATTAGAATCTACACGAGGAGAACTGAAGCAAACTGAGAGATACTGTGCACACAGTGTAGCTATTTATGGTCACGATCACGCACGAAGTGTTTTGTTACAAAACGTGACGTAAATAGACAACGGGTATGCCAAGTGTTGTGCAGCGTGCCGTGTAATGAACGTGACTTCGCGTTCCACGCCCTTGCTATCTTATCACAGTATCAAGCTTATGTTTACCATAATATCCTTACGTGTGGCTTCAAATCCTGAAACTTGAACAAACTGTTCTCTCTCAAGTGTGCCTTATGGCACATGATGTGTCCAATATTTTCTCAATCTGTTTTCTCAGCTAAGCTTTAATCCGGGATTTCAAATCCTGTTTGAAATTTTGGCACTTAAAGGTTCAAGGGATAAGGTCTGCTTGCTGAGAGCAGACTACACCCCACCCTTAACACAATGTATGATTTTTTTTAATCACATTGTATATGTACCAAACAACTTTTAGTACTTGTTTTCAGATATTTTGTAGTCTAATACACATCATCAAATGTGGATTCTTCCTAACTTCATGTTAAACCTTAGGGGGAGTGCTGTTTTTGGCGTACAAATCTGTTGATTGTTTAAATTGCACCTTATTGATCAAGGCGTTATTTAATATGCTCCTTATTATAGATGAACATCTATTTTGGGGCCAGAGGACAAACATATTTGATATTTTGAAGCCTGAAAAATTTTGTATTATTCTCAAATTTAAAAACCAAATGGTATTGTAGTAAATTACTCTGAAACCCATTTGCACATGACAATCAGGTGATACTTGTAAAAATGTCAGATACAGGTTGGATTTGAATAAATGTTGACCTATTCGTAATTTTCCTGTTTTTCTCTCTGTTACAGAATAAAGCTCTTTAATACCCAAGTGCGAGCCGTAGCATGTTCTTACTTTACATTTCCTGATCTCAGACTCAACGTTGTTAAAAAAGGGAGTGACAAAAGCATGAGTAAACAGATGTCTCAAGTTGCACTCTCATCTTGATCCCAATCGCAAATGGAAAGAGGCGAAATATTCTAACTAAAACATTTGCATATTGATGGCACAGTGTCTCAAATTAGCTGTTAGTTGTGGTAAAAAAAATCATGACCAAGTACATACAATGTGCATGCATTGTCAACTTTCTCTAAGACCTACACCATCACAGCTGTACTGTGCCTTATAGAGGTGACCATTAAGGGATGGTTGTCTGTACATGTTATGTATTTAGCAACAAATCAGAGATAATAGACCTA